AAGAACAAAGGGAAGAACAAAAGATAAAACCATCTAGAAAACCAGAATGTCAGTTAGAAGCATCGAAAACTTGAGAAGACGAGCACTCACAGAGACAATGATGATTAGTTGTCCAGCAGCGCTAGAACCACCAATAAGCGCAACAATTAGACTTGGAACAATTGCTACCGCTCGGGTTAGTAAGTTTCGAATCCAAGGTTTAAACCTCAAGTTTAAAAATCCCTGCATCACGTACTGGCCGGCATATGTGCCTGTAATCGTTGAGCTTTGCCCGGAGGCAAGCAATGCAACGCCGAAGAGGATCTTACTCCAACGTCCCAACACATTCTGCCGTTAAAAAGAAAAAAAAGAAGAAGAAAAACTTAGAAAGTTCCAAATGACCATGAAGAAGTACGCACCTGCAGGAGGAATGAGGCCCGGTTTAGATCCAAGTCATTACAGTTTGCTCTATTCTCGGCTGATAAGTCTGGTTGCGAACACACCGAGCCGCTAACAGCAATAACACATACGTTGATTAGAAAGGCGAAGAAAAGTGCGAATCCACTCTCAAACATATAGTACTTGCATCCTTGCTACATGAGAAAAACGAAAGTTCATGCTAGAAGCTTTGAAGACTTTGAATTACCTTGATTCCCTTATCAGAGCGAGGAATTCTTCGAGTCAGAACCAATGCCGAGTGAAGAAACAGGTTGTGTGGCATAATCATAGCCCCCAAGAGAGAAATAGCCAGCCCAGTGGCACCGTCGCCTTTAAGTTGAGGCACAAAGAGCCCTTTCAAAACTAGTGCAGCATTTGGTTTCGCGTAACCAAGCTCGGCAAAAAAACATCCAGTCATTATCATCACCAGTGCAGCGATAATAAGCTCCAGCTTGCGCACCTAGAATCGAAAAGCTGTTAAACAAAATCACCGGGAGAGAAGCCGCGCAAATTGAAAATACTCACTCCATACTGTTGCAAAGCCAGGAGGAGAAGTGTGCTGAGTCCAGTTAACAGGACGCCGATCCAAATAGGTACACTAAACAGAATGTTAAGCGCAAATGCCGTGCCTATAACTGGCAGAAAAAACGAAGGGAACAAACATTGACTTTGCAACGCAGACAAAATGCCTAAACGAACCTTCGGGAATATCAGCTGATATGACGGCAACTTCGGCCAATATCCACAGCAAAATCGACACAACCTTGGGATATTCGGTCCTACAGTGCTCGGCGAGATGCTTCCCTGGAAGGTGAAATATAAAGAAATAGTCACTTTGCGTGCTTGAGCAAGACTTTGTGTATTTTACCAGTGACCACACCCAAATTCGCGGCCAGGGACTGGATGATCAAAGCCGAAACGGAAGCCACCAAGATAATCCAGAGCAGCTGCAAGGATTTCAGGTCACATAACTCAAGAAACAAGATTTAGCAATGCCTACCTCATACTGATATTCCGCGCCGGATTGGAGATCGCTCTCGACTGCAACGTTGTCAGGAAACGAAGAAAAAAGGAGTAAGAGAAAGGAAAGAACGAAGGAACCAAGCTCACAATTTCCAGGATCAATGTAAGCGATGCAAACCAAAAACCCCGGCCCCAAAAACGCTAGCAGCTTCCTCCATCCTTCTTTCTGATCAATTAGTGTTCATCCAGAGATGAGAAGAGAGGGAGAAGAGATCAGAGGAACAAAATAAGAACCAAGGAAAGAGAGAACAGCTGCATTGCTCACCTCCACTACATCCACTTGATTCTTCATCGGCTCATCGATGTCAGTGAGATCCATTCGCTGCTGTTGCTGCTGCTGCTGCTGCTGCTGGTGCCGCCTCGCCTCGTCATGGAGCGGATTGGACGCTCTCATCAGAAAATCGATGGAATTCCCAATCCAATCGCCGAGGCAGCGCTGCTAAAAAGAAACAGAGAGAGCTCTATTAGGACCCTAAAAAGGGCTTAACACAGCATATATTCTCCTAATTGCGTAACATCATTAGCCCTTTTTCTTTCCTACTAAAGTACCTCATTTTCAATGGTAGAGCAGCCTCTTGCGTGTTGAAAATTGCGAGAATGACACCACCGATGACTTCGAATCCTTTTTTTTTAATCTAGAAGTGAGTGAAAGGAGCTCGATCCATTGATGCATCTTAAAAGATCATACCTTTGATCATGGCGTCCGGCTCTTTAAATGAGACGACACCACGGAAGTGCGTCTTCACGGCCGGACAGGCGTCTCCCGCATTGCGTAAAACTCTACATACCGGAAGATTGGCTTTCACTGTCCTCTCCTCTTCGTTTCCAGGAGGTTGTTCTCGGATACAATTGCGTTGAGATCGTCCTTTACTTTGTCAATGTCCGCGATTTCCTGCTCACACCCTTCCAGCTTTGCTTCGAGGTCCGCTATTTCCCGGTCCAACTTGTCCATCTCAAGGACTTTCTCCACAAGGCCACCAAAGCTCTCGTGCATGCCGGTCAGGATCCTGTAAGCCAGCCTGCACTGCGGCTCAATCTTGGCGTCCCTGGACGAAGTCATACATGAGTTTACGAAAAACACTAGCATTACAGAGACTTTAGCGCACCTGAAGATGAGCTCGTCAACCAGGAGGTGGATTCTCCCAAGCCGCTCTTGTGTCGCATTGTAATCTCTCTGAAGAATGCGTGTCTCGTGAATGATCTTTGTCACATCCGTCTCTTGCTTTTTGCTGTTCTTCACTAGCTCTGTGATGCGACGGACGTAGCTGCCTTTCGGCGCCTGCTTGGGACAATTAGCCAGCCTTGTCGTCAACGATGCCTGCTCTTCTTTCCTGTCGTTGAGTTTTTGCTTACACGGCTACAATAAGAAAACGGTGGTACCTTGCGGCGACCTTTAAGGAGATATCCTCTATCTCTTTCAACATTTTCTCCTCCAGAATCGTCGTCGATTGATTTGACAATATTTCCAGCGAGCGTTGAGAATCACTTATTTCTTTCTCGTAATGCTCCTTCGCCGTTTCCCTGAATGGAAAACAAAATCTGAAATGGCTTAACAAAATATTAAGCACGTACCAATCCTTTTGTGCAAGATCAAAAGATTTCTGGCTCGTCTCTATATCAGACTCGAGCTTCTCCAGAGCCGAGTGCGGACTTGAGCAGTTTTTTATCAGCTTAACAGCCTGTTGCAAAACCAGTAAATCATCCTCAGCGAGCCGAGCTTTCTTCTCTTCCTCGGTAACCGATACGTAGTCTTCGGAGTTATCTTTCTCGTATTTTGCAATCTACCAGAGCGGTAAGGCACAAGCTTAAAAGCAGTTACAGCACAAAGCTCGTTTGGCTACCTTTGCTTGAGTTTCTTTCAACTCGCTCAGCAGTTCGATATAGAGCTTCTCCTTGTCTGGGGTGATGTCCAAAAACTTTCCTCCGGCGATGATTCGGGGCTGGCCGCCATACTCTTTGCCTGTACGACCATCTCCCCCTGGATCTTCTGAACTGAAAGTCGACGAAACATTCTCAGCGTCATCATCCGAGCCGCTGTCCAACGTACGATAAGGAAGAACTTTCTCTTCTGTGTCAGACCACCCCAGCAAGGCTTGTCTAACCACAGCATCAATGTTAGAAGTGCCAGTTTCTTTTCTCGACGTCATACTCTTCCGTCTACGATTTGTTCGACCATGACTCGAGCTTGGCGTTGTTTTGGAAATCTTTTCGAGTAGAAACCGGAGGAGGCGGTGCACATCAGTTTCGTTTGGGTAAAGGAACTGCGACCAGCTCCTGCCGAAAGTGAAATCAACTTCTTGCAAAGAAAAAGAAAAAACCAGCCATGCAATTCTATCTTCTGATGTTGTCTAACACGAAGGAAAGAAGAACGAGATCTCATGAATTGTGCTACGTCCAAGCAAAACAAACTGAAAACGATGTGCTTACCTGATGGAAGTTAAGATTCTCGCGGTAACCGAGCTGCGTCACTCCCTCAGCCAGCTGCATACACACTCTAAATCGTACCGAAACCGATTGTGGGACAGATCCAGGCATGTAGACCTCCTCCCTGTATCCGTCGCCGCCGATGATCCGCAGCGCCTGCGAGCACATCGAAATGAGAGCAGCAGGGCCAATGTCGTGCACAGACGCCACTCCCCGCGGCATCACGATCCCAGCCAGCTCCAGCGCCTCGAGCAAAATCCTCTGCGCATCCTCCATCGGACAATAACCCTAAAAATGTAGGCCCCAAAATAAAGAGACAGAGCCCTAAAAGCAGGGCCCCTGTTCTGACCTAAAAGTTGCTTTGCTATTTGCTAGAGAGAAGAAAATATCTCTAGCCACAGAGACACCACATTTGGAGGTTAAAGCCTTTGCCAACGTCGACAATCCACCAAACGATGCAATGCAAGGCTTTTTGTAGAATTTTCAATGCATACGAACTCATGATAGTTTTTATAATCATTTTAGGCTGGGCAAGTCAATGATTGAGTGAGTACCCATGGCTTCTTTGTTTTGACTCCTCGGTACGCTCAATTTTAACTCCCCGGACGACCAGCAACGAATCTTGACTAACAAGGCCATGAAAATAGTAATGAATTCTAGAGTATTGTTCTTCATGCAATGTATAGATAGCATTAGAATTCATGGCTCACCAGGAATTGATGATATAGCACATGGTCTGAGTTTTGTTCGTTTGACAACATGTAGTTTACAAGCTCTCTCTTGCGTGTTGATCTCATCCCGTAAGTTCCTTGGTTGATCCATCACAATCTCTCGACCCAAAGGCCAATTGGCTTGGGCTCCAAACTAGCCGTCAGTCGGGTGTGGGGACTGAGAGTAAATTCGATTTGTCACTGTCCATGCGAGCGATTGAGCTTTAAAGGGAAGTTCGGGTCCACCACCTTTTATTTTGCTCATCTTTCTGGGGAATAAAATAGCTATTCTCTAGATTTTTTTTGGGGGGGGAATAATATTGGAGTTGAGATGGAACATCCAAGTTTTCATGATGAAAAGCTCAAGAAAATTCCCTCCATGCGAAGTACTGTAAATCATACAAAACGCAGTTTGTCAAATGCCAAGACATGGACAATAACTTTGGATTGATTTCTCCAACGCAATACATGGTTTCGGAGCAGAGCCCCAAAAGAACACAAAAAATGATCTCGAGAGGAACGCGAGAAATAGACAAGAACAGATACTAAATATTATAGATCATAAGCTCTGGCTCCAAATTCTCTAGGCATAAGCTTTGATATTTACAAAAGAGTTGATTTTAGAGAAGAGAGAGAGAGAAGGGAAAAAAAAAAAGGAACCGAACTTTTTGTTGCCATATGTTCACGACGTCCGATTATCGATCGATTCGGAGCAAGCAGCCCATCGCCCATCGCTAAAAACTGTCGGCTCGATCGTTCCAAAAGAACGCGATCAATTCCTCGCAACGCTTTGTCTCTGCTGGTGGTGGTGGTGGTGGCTATGGCTATGGCTACCAGAACCAATCTGATCTCCACCACCACCATGCGCATTGTGACTCTCGGAGATGCTCTCCAGCGCAGGCCTCCAAATGCCCGATCTTCCGGAAGACGAGCCGGAGGAAGAACCACAAGAAGAAGAAGACCTGCTAGATCTCCGCGAGTGTTTGGCGGCGCCACCGCCGCCACCAACCTTACGCGGAAGATAGTTGTGATCTTGGAGAATATCCGCCGCCGCCACCGCGTCCGCCGCTTTCATCTCCTTCTCCACCAAGAGCTGCTCCAAGTAGCGCTTGGAAACCACCAGCGTCGTCACCCCGCCTTCCTTCTTCACCCGGAATGGCGGGTGATTGGCGGCGCCGCGAGTGGATTGCTCCGCCGCTGGTTTGGGCGGGGGTGGCGGAGCTGGAGCGTCACTCTTGGAACGGCTCCGCTGCTGCTTGGAGCTCTTGACCTCGTGATGGGCGGCGGCGGCGACGCTCACATTCTCCTGCGAGTGGCACTGGAACTTGTAGGCACGGCACCCCACCTCGGCGCTGGAGCTCCTGGTGGTGGCGGCGGAGGGATCCAGCGGCAGCAGCAGGAATTTGGGATTGGAATCCTCGGCGCTGAGGCATTTGGCAAGCTTGAGCTTGTCCTCCTCTGTTGACGATGAGCGAGGAGGAGACGAGGACGAGGACGAAGAAGGAAGAGTGGAGAGGGATGGATTGGGAATGGAGTTTAGACCTGCTGCCAGCGCCCCCGCTCTGTACTTCTCCTGCGCCCAGATGAGCTCCGCCGCTCGAATCGGGCGGATTAGCCGCTCTACTCTGCCATTCGTGTTCACCACCTGGACGACCTCCATCGCTCCACAGATTAAAACGCAAGACATCAAATTCCCCATCGCTTCCTCCTTCTCCCCTATTTGTGTGGTCTTCCCTCTTTAAGGCGAGAGAGTCTCGCAACAAATGCCGGCGCAGGGCATCGGCGCACGGATTCGCGCGAGCGACTGGATTGCAGCAGCGACACGATTCGATTCAATTAAATCCTCTACGATGGACCGAAACCTGGGAGTGATTCAAGGAGGTGAGAGATCTCCAGCGAAAGGGAAGGGAAAAGAAAAAATGCCCTGCTCTTTCCGTGCGGATTCTTGATGGAAATCAATGCCAGGAGAGGAGAAAAGCGAGGAGAACAATTCAATCCCGAGCAGCATCCATCCACCAGCTATATGCTTTTACGTCACACCGCCCGCCCTCTTTCCTTGCTCGCTCTGGGATAAATTCAATGAAGAACAACGCGAGCCAATCAACCCATCCGCAATAATATAGGCCCTGAACCAGAATATGCCCGTGATGCGTACATACAGTACCAGGAAGGTATTGACACACATCCGACCGTACAGGATGTAACGGCCTAGATGCCGCCACGATCATGTCATGTACGGGAAAGTTTTTTCCACCGTTCTTTCCGCTTGTTTTCTCTCGATCCAGTTCTTCGACTCGGCAGTGAGTCTTCGAACTTAATGGCTGTCAAGTGAAAGCCATCTTTCCTGATTTCTAGCGGCCGAAAGATTGGAACAGCACCAAAAGGAAACACTTACTTTAATGCGATCGAGGAGCTCGGCATAGCAGCAGTAGACCCCGTGGTCTCGAGTTGCGAGACTCGTTCCTCTCCTACACAGGACCAGAGCTTTCAAACCGTGCTTTAGCCTTTCAAAGTGCGAGTGAGAAAGCCTTATAACAAGGGGAAAATAAAGAAAGCTCAAAAGAAAAGTCTAGCCAGGCCGGTGCTGCGCGCGAGAGAGTAAAATACCTATGCTTTTGCAGGCGGCTGTCTACTGCCCGGCGTGACTCTTTTCTCTTCTTGTGCGCTCCTGCAAAGCTGGGATGGCTATTTACATGTACAGGCCCTCCGGGACGCCTTCTTTCTTCTTGTACATGACCTTCTCTTTCGCCTTCTTGAAATCAGCTTGAGTTACCTGGAGAAGAAGAAAATCGTTACAAGAAAGTTGTGAAAAGCATTGAGAAACTACCTTCATCCGCCGTTCTCTTAGTGCCAGAAGCCCAGCTTCAGTGCACATTGCCTTGATGTCAGCTCCAGAGAATTCATCCTTCGTCATCACAAACTCTTCAAAGTTCACATCGTCAGAGAGTGTCATTCTCGATGTATGGATCTGCAAGAACCAAAGTGGTTGGGAAAAACAAACGCGCACAAAAAATAAGCACGACGTCACCTGAAAAATGCGTCGTCGGGTTTTGATATCCGGCAAAGGAAACTCGATTTTCCGGTCAATTCTACCGGGTCGAAGCAACGCAGGGTCCAAGCTTTCGATGCGGTTCGTCGCTAGGATAACTTTCACGTCACCCCGAGCATCGAAACCATCGAGCTGGTTCAGCAGCTCAAGCATGGTCCGCTGAATTTCGCGCTCTCCACCAGAGTGTGCATCATACCTAGAGAAGGTTGTTCCCAATTAGTTTCTGCAACAACCATGTAACGAAATCACCTTTTCGTTCCAACAGCATCAATCTCGTCAATGAACACAATGGACGGAGAAAGATCGTCCGCAACGCGAAAGAGCTCCCTAACAAGCTTAGGACCGTCTCCCAAATACTTTTGAATAAGCTCGCTGCCAACAACACGCAAGAACGTTGCAGATGTGGAGTTTGCAACAGCCTGTAGAACCAAAGCTAGTTAATTACGAAGTAGCACCTTCAAAGATGTCACATTTACCTTTGCCAGGAGCGTTTTGCCAGTTCCAGGTTCGCCATAAAGTATCACTCCCTTGGGAGGTTTGATTCCAATGTCCTCGTACAGCTCCGGATGCGTAAGTGGCAGCTCGACGGCTTCCTTGATCTCTTGTACCTGGGCATCCAAGCCCCCGATGTCGGCATAAGACTCTAGCGGAGCTTTTTCGACTTTCATCACCGACACCATAGGATCGACTTCGTCTTGCAACAATCCAACAACGGAGAGAACCTGCCGAAGAGAAACAAAGTAGAAACAAACGCTAGCAAGCAGGAAAACAGTACCTTATTGTGCATGAGGATCGCACACCCGGGCTCAAGCTGGTCCTTGTCCACAAACGAAAGAATGTTGACATAGTACTCTGGCCCGACCGACGACGAAACAATAGCGTGGTTCTCATCAATGATCTCCTCCAAGCTCCCCACGCTCATGGGCGATCCTCGGAGATCATCGACCTTGGATCTGTCCTCCTCATTCTTATCCTCCTGCGGCTTCAAGCGCTCTTGATTCGTCACGTACTCTTCCTCCATGAGCAAGTAATCCTTGACCCTCTCGAGCTTGAGAAGCCGGAGCTTGCATTTGGTGGCCGGCGTGACGAAAGGAAGGCGTGCCGCTGCCTCGGGGCCCTTCTGCTTGCGCTGCTTCCGCCCAACCCTAGTCGGCGGAGCTGCTGGCTCATACTTCTTCTCCTTCTTGTCCTCCTGCCTGCGATCTCCGGGCGGCCCGCCCTGCCTGGGAAATCCCGATTGACCCTGCCCCATAGATCGATCTCTTGGCGCACACCAAAAACCTACCTCACAGCTCGAGAGAAAATGAAGAACCCTAAAAGATGCCGCCTCCTGGTCTATGAAATTTCCAGAGCTCGATGGCCTCAAATCGGAATGGAGCCGACTCCTCAGGCACTTTGGCGATGCGCGCGACCTCTGCCAGGGCCGGATCGTCCACGAGAGGATCGTCGAGAGAGGACACCACTGCGACATCTACCTCGCCAATCTCCTCGTCCAGATGTATGGGAAATGCGGCAGCGTCGAGGACGCCTTGGCAGTCTTCGATGCGTCGTGGGGAAAGAACACATTCTCCTGGAGCATTCTCGTCGCGGCGTTCGTCCACAACGGGCGGATCGAGGCCGCCAGGCGCGCATTGGCGGCGATGCCGCAGTGGAACGCCGTGTCTTGCACCACGCTCGTCGCTGGATATTTCCACGAGGGAGATCCTGACGAGGCGCAGAGGATTTTCGACCTGATCCAAGAGCCTAGCATCGTCTCCTGGAACGCGCTTCTCGCCGGCTATGGCGAGCGCGGCGATCTCCGGGCGGCGCGAAGAATCTTCGATTCGATGAGCGAGCGCAGCACCGCGACCTACAATGCGATGATCCAGGCGTGCGTCCAGCACGGAGAATTCGAGCAAGCGAAGATCGTCTTCGAGAGCATGGCGAAGATCGTCGAGAAATCCAGGGCCATAGCCAAGGACAACTCCCACCACAGAGACGTGGTGACGTGGACGACGATGATCGAGGCATATGCCCAGAACGGGCATCTCGCGGAGGCAAAGGCACTGTTTGATGGAATATCCGGCCGGAACGTAGTGACGTGGACGGTGATGCTGGCGGCCAGCACCGCGGCCGGAAATCTCCACGTGGCGAGGGGGATATTCAACCGCCTTCCACAGCACAACGTTGTAACGGGCTAAGGTGACGCTGGTGATAACGGTGTCCAGTTTGGTGAAGCCCTAACCGAGTGCTGACGTGGCAAGTGGGCGAGCGAGGGTTCTTGGTTCGAGAGGGAGGATGGAAGGAGAGGAGTGTGGGTGCTGGATGTGAGCACACGGGGTGTTCTGTTGTGTGTTCTAGTGGTTCAGAGGTGGATCTCTCTTGGTTTCTCTGGTTTCTTTGCTAGTGTCCATGAATGGAGGCGGTCCCTGTTTTGGTGGAGATGAGGGGCATCCACATTGCTGAATGCTCTCACGAGCAGTGTGTGGCTATCCATTCTTGGACCAGCTATGGAAGATTGACGATTGTTAAATTGAGCATCATGAGTGGTTGCTAATTTGAGCAATGTAAACAGAGCTTGCTTTGTGTGGCATCGGGGACTTTCAGTGAGAATGCTAAAGGCATTACTGGAAAGTGATGCAGAAAATCGAGGCAAATGGCCTGATTTTTGAGGCATAGCAAGTGAGCCAAACAAGAGAGCTATTTGAACACCCCGTGTGTGCGGGTGAGAGGAAGCTTATTGTGGCTAATGTGGCTAGTGTTGAGCATGCTAGCATTTCTTTTTTGGGGGAATGGCAAGTACTAAAGCAAATGCTACTCAGGTGTAAAGAATGAGGGGGAGAAAATCCCAAAGGTGTATTTATTGAGCAAATTGTCATAAGGCCAGGGTGGGCAGGCTGTAATGGCTTTGAAATCAGTAAGTTATGGTGGCTCAAAATTCTTTCAAGTTTATGTAAAAGATTGCAGAGAGTTGCTTTTGATTCTGGTGGCTAATTATCTTGGCGAGATAAAAATGAGTGTGAATGATGTATTGTAAGTGGATGTTGGCTTGGCTTGGAGCATGGAGGTTGAGGTTTGATCTGTAAATATGATAATGTAAGAAGAGAAAATGGGTCTTTACATCTAGGAAAGCATGCATAATATTTGTTTCCTGGTAGAGCATAGTACAGATTTGATATTCTGGTTTGTGTGAGGACACACAAATTTTAACGGGGGAAAGACCGCTACATATGTAACGGGCTAAGGTGACGCTGGTGATAACGGTGTCCAGTTTGGTGAAGCCCTAACCGAGTGCTGACGTGGCAAGTGGGCGAGCGAGGGTTCTTGGTTCGAGAGGGAGGATGGAAGGAGAGGAGTGTGGGTGCTGGATGTGAGCACACGGGGTGTTCTGTTGTGTGTTCTAGTGGTTCAGAGGTGGATCTCTCTTGGTTTCTCTGGTTTCTTTGCTAGTGTCCATGAATGGAGGCGGTCCCTGTTTGACCGCTACAACGTCGTAGCCTGGAACGCGATCGTCCAGGCGGTTGCCCAGTTTGGAGATTTTGACGAGGCCAAGAAACTCTTTGACCGTACGCCATGCTGGAGCATTGTCTCCTGGAACGCGATGATCACCGCGTACGGACAGAGGGGTTACGTCGACGAAGCCCAAGAAATGCTCCACAGAATGTCCCAGTGGAATGTGGTGTCTCTCACGGCACTGGTAGCGGCTTACGGCCAAAACGGGCACCTAGATCTCGCCAAAGAACTCTTCCACTGGATGCCCGAGAGGAACATCATCACCTGGAACTCGATGCTAGCTTTCCACCCGGGAGATGGAAGCCATCGTCTGGAAGAAGTGTTTTCGCTCATGCCCTCCTGGGACCTGGCATCGTATAACTCTCTCGTCCAGGCACACGCGGAGCGAGGTAGCTTGGCGCGAGCTCGAGAGATCTTCGACACAATGTCCAAGCGCGATTGGATCTCCTGGCTCATCATAATCACGGCTTTCTCTAGAGCAGGAAAGGTTGACGAGGCTCGGAAACTCTTCGACGCTTCACCGGAGCCGCGGAACGCTGCCCTGTGGAGCTGTATGATAAGCTGCTACACCGACAACGGCCGCTTGGATGGAGCCAAGTTGATGTTTGACACCATGCCCGTCCCGAGCCTGATTTCCTGGACCACCATGCTCTCGGCTTATGCCACCGGAGGACGAGCTCGGGAAGCACTGCAGCTGTTTAGCTCGATGATTCTTCATGGCCTGGAGTGTAAGGAGGTGAGCTTCGTCACCGTCTTGAATGCCTGCAGCCATATGGGATGGGTCGAAACTGGCCGAGAATACTTCCTCTCCATGGTCTCCGACCATGGAATTCATCCTGTTCCTGACCACTACACTTGTCTTGTTGACGCCTTTGGCCGCGCAGGGCAGTTGAATAGAGCTCGGGATCTTCTTCTCAGTGTACCTTTCATGCCGGACTGTGCTGCATGGGGAGCTTTGCTGGGTGCTTCTATAGTTTATGACGATGTTCAAGTTGGCGAGTTAGCAGCGGAGCAACTAGTGGAGCTTGAGCCTGACCAAGCCACCACTTACGTGAAACTGGCTAATGTTTACGCGGCTGGTGCTCGGTTGACGTAGTTAATAATAAATGGTGCTAGAAAATTGTTCTTTAGATGTAGGAGTAAGCACAATCTTAAAAGGAGCGATACTTCTAGCGATCAATCCGTCAGTCGTCGAAATCGCCATGGTCGTGGTACCCACGGGGCGTACGTGAAGATTCCAGAAATGTGAAGATTACATACCACCCATTTTTCACCGCAAAATTTGAGACACCACTACAGATTCGCTCCTTGACACGATCATGCCACCTGGACGTCCCAGCAGCTGCCAGTTAAGCCTGAAGTCCTTATAAATTCACCACCATTGCTCAGCACAGCTTCAAACATAGCAAGCTAGAACAGCAAGAGCTCCCCAATAAGCTCTAGATTCTTCCAGGCTCATCCCAATTCACTCTTGAGCAATTATCTGATTTCTGTAGAATTCATAATGGCTAGCACTGTTGCAGCGAGAGGCATCCCTTTGCCTACGGCACTGTCTTCGCTCACCCCTTCTTCTGATTCCAGGCTCCGAGGAAGTCACAATGCCTCGACATCGAATTCCAGCCGGCTCTCACGCTGCATTGTAGTCCGAGCATCACAGCAGCAGCAGAATGTTGGCGACTTGCTGGAAAAGACCAAGAAGAAGATCACCCGAGAAAGTGTGGAGAAGCATCAGGAAGGGACCAAGTCGGAGAGCCCAGAAAACATCCCACTCTCGATTCCCCAATCCCAGGCTCAGAGTCCCGACTGGAGCTACCCGCGACCCGAGGTAGAGCGCAGGCCCGAAACTGGTGCCAGAGACTTCGGAAGCTTGATGGCATTTGATGGCCCTGGACCGGAGACGATCAATGGCCGACTGGTAAGTATCTATAATGCTCAGCTTCCTAGAATTTGGATTTCTTAATCCAACTTGAACACCTTGAACAGGCAATGCTAGGTCTCGTCTGGGCATTCGTCGCTGAGAAGTTGACGGGGGAGACAGTCGCACAGCTGCTGTACGCACCCGGGAACAACGGACTGTTCTACTACTTTGCAATGGTGCAGCTCTTCATGTACGCGTCATTGGTGACCATGTTCAACGGCGAGAGTCCGGACAGCAGAGCGATTGGACCTTTCACAGCCAAAGCCGAGCGGTGGAATGGCCGGCTCGCCATGATGGGCTTCCTAAGCCTGGTTGTCAACGAGGCCTTTATCAACACCCCGGTCTTCAACCTCCACATGTAAATTCAGTGTGTACATAGCCTAGTACCTTGTTTGAAGAGACCAAATTGATTATCTTTTTTATCCTTCCATGCTTTCAAAACAGTCGAAAGTGCGTAAAGTTTCCTTCCTTAGAAATGGATGCTGGCTTGTGAGAACTTCGGGTCCCTCGCGGATATTGTCAGAACCGGTTAATCCCTACCTACCTCATTTCTTATCTTCTACCAAAATGCGCCCCGATCCTACAAAGAAATGTTGATCTTTGCTTTCCAAGGCATATGCCTTTGCCTGAATTCGTTGTCCACGATCGTCGTTCCAGAGCGAAAAAGCGGTAGGTAGCCCACGGGCAGAAACTTATCTGAAGTGTTTGATTCGCAAGGGAGCTCGCGTTGCCGGCTCCCAGAAGGGGCCATCTTCTCCTTGTTGTCTCTGCGTAGGACGGCACATCCTGTTTGTGCCGCTTACTCAGCGGCTCGATCAGCCATTGCTCTCGGAGATCATCGGGATTGGGAAGAAGCGTTTTTCGGCCATCATGCTAGTTATCTGCTCTCTAGACTCGATCGACACTTCGCAGCGATCATCCAGAGCAGTGACTGAATCATTCACGGCACTCTGGTTCGTGCTTTACTGTTCATTCATGCGTACCCGATATCCGCCGAGGTCCGCTCTGTCTGGCTTCGTGTTTTGAGAGGGCTTGGCGACAGAGGTCACAGTCATGGCCCATCTGATAGCTTGCATTGCTGCGTCCATCTGTTGAATGGTGTGAGCAACAGATGTTGCCAGAAATCAACCAGTCAATGGTGACGGCCACAGCGCAGACAAGAGGAATTATATTTGTACCACTTAGGGCTTTCAATATATTGCCGGCAACACTTTGAATGCTAGTAACTTTGCAACGACGCAACGCACCATGTTCATCGGCAAGAGTCCGGACAAGAGCGATTGGACCTATCACAGCCCAATCTGAGCGGTGGCATGCCCTGGTCGCCATGATGGATGGGCTTCCTAAGCCTGGTTGTCACCGAGGCATTTATCAATGGCTGTCACTGTAAATCAAATTTAAAATAACCTGGTGACAACCAAATAGAACTTGGTGACAATCAAGGACAATCAAGGTCAATAGAAGACAATTAAGAATTCAACTGAAAGATAAGCAAACAAATAAAGACACACTAGTTCATCTAGTGGCTTGCAATTGGCTAGAAAAAATCAGATTTCTTGGTTGTAAAATATTCATTGGTATCTCCCAATATAATGGTATTAAAAACAAAAAAAGCCCATAAAAGGGTCAGGAAATTGAATAGGGTCTATTGTAGTAAGTGTTGGCAAAATTAACTTTTACTTTGAAATAAAAAATACCCTAAAGATGGAGGTAGTGATTTTATGTTGTTTAGTGCAATGATTAAATGATAAAAGCAAAATACTAATAACCAAAAATGGGCTAAAAAAATATTTGAGTGTGGCTGTAGGGGGCTTGCATGATCCACAACGAGAGGAGGTGGAACAGAAAGCCATCTGGCTATTCGTTCTTTAGCCTGTGTGGATATCTAGTATGGAATTTCCTGTTTAGCTTTGCTTGCAATGCTTACCACTAGAATGGAGAAAAACTTATGGAGGAAAGCTTGGATTGATTACCATTACTAATTGCTATTGAAGAGAAAAGGTCTTGCATCATGATATACACAAGGAAAAAAACTGAGAGAACACAAATCACTAGAAAGTCAATAGTGAAACTTATGAGTTGGAAATGATTGGAGCTTATATATCTTTAATTGGATGCCAAGCAGCAGTTCATTGTCACAAAGCACAATATAGAAAAACTAAGCTCCAAATCTTGATCCCACACCTGTTTGGAAGGGGTAATTTTTTTGCTTTTTTCCCTTCGGTTTTGCATCTAGTTTAACTGTAGAAATTCCAAGCACAACAATCTGGAAAATTTGAAGGGATCAGAGTAGGTGAAGTATGGATTCACTTGAATGTTCTTGGCTGGAATATTTTTCAGTCTCTATTATAAATAAAATATATATTTATATATTTACATGAAGTTATTTTTATAAAACTTTAACTATAGAATATAAATTTTTGAATTTGATTGTTTATAAGATATATAAACTGTTATAGTAAGTATATGACCAAGAGTATAGTATATATAGTTATTATAATAACTATATGCTCGATAAAAGATGTTAAAGGTATAATGAGCCTTCAATGTTGGCTTTATATAAAAAATAACATGGTAATTCATGATAGGATTATTTCAGAAATTATATATTTATCCAATAAAGACATTAAACTTCATCTATGAGTGGTAGAGTTGTAATACCTAAACTCTTGACTCCCAAAATGGAGCTAAGGATAAGCCATATTGGTGTGGCTGAAGTAAAAATGTAATAGTGTAACATATTACTTTGACATAAAAAGTTAATAGGGGGAGAGGAACTCCCAAAAAAAATTTTGAAGAATAAATATGAAATAATTGATAAACAAGTCTTTAAAAAGGGACAAAAGAAAAATTAATATATGGTAAGTGTTGTGAAATATTGAAGACTAAAGTGAATCTGAGATCAAGTCTGAAATTAAGTTTAAGGGGTAAAAGCCCAAAACAACCATTTCCTAAACCCTAAATGGTTTAATAAATCCTTATGGGATAATAGGGGAAGGATTCTAAAGGAACTGACTAAAGAAATCATTTACTTCAATCCACCATTTTTAACATTGTTTAGATTACTTAATTAGTTGAATCCATAAGACACTATCATTTTAATGTCATTAAAAGCTTTGAACTAGCATTTTTGCATTAGAAATTACACATCCAAGTTTTGTGTAACTTATAAAATGGTTAGATATACTATTCAAATAGGAGACAAAATTTATTTTACATCACTTTAAACTTCCTCCCACAGCTATTAGTGATTTTAGCATCTCAACCTGGTGTTGTAAGAGCCCTAGCCAATAGTTGTGAAGGCTTAAATTAAAAATAGCATAGAAATAAGAATTATCATCTTGTTTTGCTTTAAAAGATTGAAAATTGAGAGAGATAAATAAACTCTTTAAACAATAGTTTCAATGCAAGCAATAGTTCTAAATTGATATATTGAAATGTGAAACTTATGAAATGAAACTTTCTCACACTACTACCATCCATTGCAATGTGTGCTTCTAAAGTTTAGAGTAAATAATGGCTTCCTTGTAATAAAGTAGTGTTAAGAAATGAATGAAAGAGAAAGAAAATAGAGTAATGCCCATGCATACTTCTATTGGAGATGCAACTTAGATGATCTTTATAATTTCTGATATGACTATAATCTGAATGAGAGAAGTTACTTCCTCTTATTTGTGACTAAGCTCATCCTATGAAACCTTTTATTCCTGATTAAGCTCATGAAACAAAAACATCATGGCTCTAGAACTTGTGTTCTAAGAGCACTATACACTTGTCAAGACCCCTAACAAGATCAAGATTGGAAAATGCAAAAGACAAAGAGAAAAGCTAGTGGAAACAAAAAAGAGGCCTTAGATTGGCGTTGATTTAGATTGTGGAGAAATGGAACAAGGCTAATCTATATATACTATAGGTTGATGAAGTTCCACCACTCTTGAATTGAGGACGGCCTAAATATAGCTGAGGTCGAGGAGGTGCCACGTCATCATCAAGAATGTAATTCGAGACTCAGGAATTGTACGAGAAATCAAAGAGTCAGGAATATGGTCTGCAGGTCAGGAATCTAGCAAGAGTTAGGAATGTGGCAAGAATTGGGGAATTCCTAACAACACTCACCCTTCTTCTGTCAAGAATCTTTAGTCTCAAGCTTGGTAATCCTACCTTCGATCAACAGGATCAAGTTATCCTCAGTTCTAATTGGCTTCACATTATGGCAATTTCCCTGGCCCCTCATGACTCCTCCTTGATGGATGCAATCAGAAACAATCTTCAATTTGACGACCTCGCTAGCGACATTTTCCCCCATCTTCAGGCTAGACACCTAGTGACTCTTAACTGCCGGCAATTTGATGAGTTCGAGTTCTTAGATGGCTTGTTGTACTGTGGGGAGTAGCTTTACATTCCTAAAGGTGATGCTCGAAGGTTGGTCCTGATGGCATGCCACGATAGCCCAACTGCTGGTCACTTTGGCATTGCGAAAACCTATGAGTTGGTTGTACGAGACTTTTGGTGGCCCCACATGGACGACTACATCAAAGTTTTTGTTACCTCCTGTGACACTTGCGCCCGGAATAAGGTACCTCGCCACCTTCCTTCAGGTTTGCTTCATTCCCTCCCGATCCCTTTAGGTCCTTGGGAATCCATTTTCATGGATTTCTTGAGTGATCTTCCGAGTTCTGGAGGCTTTAACAGCATTTTAGTTGTGATGGATCACTTCACAAAGATGGCGCACTTCCTACCGTGTACCAAGGAGTTTTTGAGTGAGGACATGGCAAAACTGGTATTCAGGGAAATTTTCTGACTTCATGAGATTCCTGCAGATGTGGTTTTGAATTGGGGACCTTAGTCCATCTCTCATTTCTAGCAACGGTTCTTGCAGTTGCTTGGAGTGAAGGCCAACCTCTCTTTGGCATATCACCCTCAAACTGATGGACAGTTTAAGTGAACAATTCAGACGTTGGAACAATTCATGGGGTGTTTCATCAACTATCATCAGAATGACTGGTTCAATATCTTTCCCCTTGCTAAGTTCTCTTATAACAACTCTATTCATTCCTCCCTTCAAGTTTCCCCCTTCTTTGCAAACTCTGGCCACAATCCTCAATTCAATCTCTCACTTCCTTCTCTATCTGAATCCTCTCGTTCAAATCCCCACTCTGAGGCATTTGTCTCCAACCTCCAGGAAATCCACAACTCCATCTCCTTCCACCTCCATCATGCTTAGGAATCTCACAAAACATTCGCCAATGTCTATCGTCAGGATTGTCCCCCTTACAATATCAGGGATAAAGTCTGGCTCCTTAGGCGAAATATCTCCACTACCAAGCCATGTCCCAAACTCGATTTCAAATGCCTCTGTCCTTTCTCTATCATTGCCATCATTAATCTTGTCACTTATCGCTTTGCACTTCCC